ATGGCCCCGCGATGCGTGGAGATAAGCTACCAGGCGCATCGAAGGTGGAGTGTCTGAGAGTCTGAAGTTGAGAAGAAAACGGTACAGTAGCAAACGGTTCATGGAGAACCGTGCCCCGAGCCTAATGCTCAGGATTGCGGGACATCACTCCACAGTCAAAGGACATGAAGATGGAATTTCACAGGAAAAGGCGCTTCGGCGTTGGAGGTTGGTGAGTCTGGAGACACGGGAGAGATATGCAAGTGGATCGATAATTGATTGTCGTGCATGCGGGTTCAATGGCGAGAATCCTCTAGTTACCCGACTCGGCAACTGGTCCCTGATGGTGCGAAGCGCAAGTCAGAAGGACATTGGAGTGCAGCAGCGGGTGCGGAGCGCAGGAAGGGAACGTCTTGGCCTAAAGGGTGTCTGGGGAAGCCGATTGCAGAGCGAAACATCAATCTGGCAGGTCGAAAGTCTTGGTATTCTGCACAGCCTCGTTTCCAGATCGCGAGGGAGCTGACCACCAACAGTTGCCCGTAAGCTGCGTCGGGCGGGCGCCGGGCGGGCGGGGGAGAGGGAATTCTGTGTAGCACTGGATCATTTGAGTTGAGACATCGAATGTCTGCATCGCATCCTGACGAGAGGAGAGGCATTTCTGCTGCGACAGATGGCTTGGCTGTGTTGAGGGCGCTATTGACAGCAAATTTCCTTCTCATCCGTATGCTGCGGAGACCAATCGTGGCTGACGGATGCTCGGGATCAGACGAGACGAACGAGCGTGCGCTGTGATGTCTGTTCGGCGGCGTTGGAGGGGGCTGACGTTCAGTGCAATTTGCCCCGTGCTGGCTGAGCGGAAGGCTCTTTGTAGGGCGACTCGTACGCTGCCGGGCTGAGCCGGTGTGAGAAAATTGACAACTGGTGGGCTTTTCCGGCCGGATTTGCAATATCGATCGCGAGAGAAGGCGAGGAGCCTCGCTCCAGCTGAACTTTGAGTCATGATTTCAATAGCATGAAGACGTAATTGCTGCGGCTGTCGAGAGGAGCTTCCATCATCAATCTTGAACCAGCCCCAGAGCGACGTGTGATGCCGTGGCGAGTTGTCGAGCCAAGACTAGCAAGACAGCCTCAGCCATCAAAAGCATCATGTCCTAAGGATTGAAGTCTCTTTCAGAAACGACAACTGTGAGAGGGCCTTGGCGAGGTAGCCGTCGCGGTGGTCCAAGGAGGCGGCGCCTCAAACTCAACTCTATGCCGCAATATCCAGGCGTCGTAGGTACAGTGGTCAAGTGCCTCAGCGTGGTGAGGGCGATGGCAGACTTGAGGTGTCGTGTGAACACAATAACCTATCGTTACACAGCCCCCGGTCCCTCTTTGGCGCGGCGGCTTAACTGTTGACGATGTGGGGGAGCTCGGTTGAACCCCTGGGTGTTCGAATCTTTACCCCGATAGCGTGAGGAGCGGGGAGAAGTGTTGTCGAGTTGATAGCTGGCAAATGACAATTGAGATAATGCTTCTGATGGTAACGTTGATAGTCGGAATATGCCCGAGTCCCGACTGGGCAAGTGTGTTCCATTGATCGCTGCAGCCATGTGCAGGCAGCTAGGCGGCTGCATATTCGTAACAGAGGGTTACGAGAGACCCAAGTCATCGGAAAGCGGCAGGCGTGAGGGCGAATGGGAAGCGGAGGGCGAATTTGGTGGCTGACTTGACAGTGCCTGCAGTGTACCGAGTTCCATCTGTCGAGTTTGCTGTGATTTGTCCCAGTTGCCAAGATGCCTCGAGAGAATCCAGCGAGGCACAGCCAATGGAGTTGGAGGCTTCCGGGAGGCAGGGAGAGGACGGGCGGATGCTCACAAGGTGGGATGGCATCGTGAAGACGGCGATGCGCCCATGTCGCTGCGGCCAATTAGCGGGTCGGAGGCGCTGTTTCTTCGCGAGGTAGCCGGGGCAGTCGGTACCTTACGGTGTGGTTGCCGTCATGGACAGTGCCAGAAGCGACCACCGTTCTGGGTTCCATTGCTGGGCGCGTGGGGAAGGGACGCAGAGGCGCCCCCATTTCCGAGTGATGACAGGCCGGGTGCGGTGCATGGGGGAGGCCTGCAACGGCGATGCGGTCACTTTTTGCCTTTGGTTGAGATGACCTTGAAAGTTGGAACGATACTAGCTTTTTCGCGCAGCACCGCCCTCAACGTCGAATAGCAGTCGTCACTGCTGTGGAAATTACCGAGTGAGGCGGAGAGGGCGAAATGACGCTGCGACCGTATCGACACGTTTTTCTTTTCTTCATTTGAGTCGGTAAATGCGTAGCACTAGCAGTGCAGGCCTGAGCATGTCCAGCTGGTCTGGGCCTGCCGTTAGTTGCGCTGCTAAGGAACAGCGAGCGAGGCAAGGTATTCGTACACAGTAATACGGATAGGTCGCTGCGTAAAGTATGGCTGGGGTGGCGAATGGCATTCTCGACAATTCGATTTCGGGTGGGGCGAACAGTGCAGTTGGCAAACCAGAGGCCTTGTCCCGACTCACACTGAACATGGAAGAGAAGATCACGGTGGTCCAGTCCGCCATCGAACATTGCTCTTGCTGCTGCAGCATGATTACCGACGAGACGAGGAGACAAGGTAATAAGCTTGCTGACTGGATTGCTTCCTGCTGAACCTACTTCGTAGTACCTATGGATACCCAAGAGAAAATCGCCAAGCCTACTGGAGCGCGGGAGGAATAGCATTTTTTCTCCTTCTCGCTTTTGCACAGCCTCAATTTGCCAGCGCTGCTGTTCCCGTTCCTGTTCCTGTTCCTCTTCCTAGCAGGGGCCCTGCGCTGGACGACCAACTCTGTGCTCAACATGCTCTGTGCGCCTCTTCAAGGTTGTTCTTGCCTTGCTGGACCCTGCTTAACTGCTGTAATTGACGAAGTACTGCCTGGCTTGGCTGACCATGACTTTCCATTCGCAAGAGACTCGACTGGCCAGCCTGTAGGAGCAGCAGGAGGCACTAAGCGCGTATCGCAGTCCAGCGTCCAGCGTCCAGCGTCCAGCGTCTCCACCACTGTGACCCGACGGCTCAGAGGCGGCGAAACTTCAAACGGGCCCGTGAGTCCGTGTGGCCTTCCCGTTTCATCACACAGACACACCCACCCGATACAGCACCCCTCCCTCGCCCACTCACACTCAGCCATCCACCATCCAACCATCCCACACTCCGCCCGACTGGACCTGGGCCCCAGCCGTCGGTTTTGTACTTTGTACCTCTGCCACCGACTACCGTTCCGCGGACCTGCACCGAGTGGACTGCACCGCCCACTGCAACCTTCAAGACATATAACCAAGACCGCCTCCCGCCAACTACCACCACCTTTCGTTCCAGCACCAAGCAACAAACAAAACAAAGACGCACAACCTGAACCAATAGTCGCAAATTACATACATATCGAGGCATTCCACTACACATCTGCCTGTACATGAACAAGCGCACTACATCGTCGACATAAAAGACCGCGAACCAACAGTACCTCGCTGTCTTGACGCAATCGCAACCAAACACAACCACACCCTACCACACATATCCTCCTCACAACCACCAAGATGGAGTCTCCCAAGTCAGACAGCCGTCCGATCTTTTCCAGACGCTCAACTGGCTCCAACAAGTCGCTTTCCCTCGACCTCTCCTCCCTGCCGCCTCTGGTCCAGCCGACACCGCCCTCAAACACCCTCCTCCTCACAAACTTGAACGACACCAACGTCTTCCGCCCTGATAACCTCCAGACTATCCGCGACCTTATCTCCAAGACGGCGCCCATTCACTCTTTCGCCCCTCTCAAGTCTTTCCGCCGTATCGTCGTCTCCTTCTTCTCAGAAGACGACGCCATCGCCGTCCGTCGCATCTGGGACGGTGAGGCTGTAATGGGCGAGCGCGTCCGCGTCTACTTCGGCCAGCCCACACCCGTCGAGGTCACCGACCGTCACCTTGCCCTGCCCGACGCTGGGAAGCTCTTCTTCATTTCTCCCCCTCCCTCTCCTCCTCACGGCTGGGAGATGAAGCTCGAGGACGCTCCTAACAAGATGGTCCACGCCGAGGATCTTGCCGAGGCCTTGGCCAAGCTTGGCCACCGCCCCTCTGGTGTTGACACTCCCATCAGCCCCATCGACGGCTCCCACCAGACGCGCAGCCGCAGCTCAACACTGCTCTACAAGCCCGACGCCCAAGGTGACAGCCCGGATCTTCCTGCCATCTGCCTCGAGGACATGACGGACGAGCCCATGGAGTTCAGCCCGATTGAGAACACCAAGCCGATCATGGCGCATACTTCCCGCCCGCCGGTGGAGCTGATGATGGACGCATGAGGAACCAAGTCATTTACGAGCGATCTTGTTTGGCGTTTGGATACGATACGGATAGGCGGTGAACCAGGACTGGGCGCATCTAGCATCTGAGAACGGATTTTTATGCGACGGCGTTACGAGGGAAAGACAGGGCACGTATACAGGATTCGAGAGGTTTTCTTTTCACCCGGACAGATTCAAACGACTGTCGTTTTCGCGGAGGATGGCGATTGTGCCATGGTAAAAAAAGTTTCTACCACGTGCTAGCTCGTAGTAAAGGGCCAAAAAAGCACATATTTTATGTACACTAGATTCCCACTCGCGCGGCCTTAACAGCCAGCGAAACAAAACAAACTGATTACCAACCCCAAACACCATAGTCCCTTGTGTGTGTCTCACTTTGTGTTGTATGCCGTTCCCAAAGCTGCGGCAACGACATTCATGCCGTGGAGACGTCGCCGGAGCCCACAAAAAAGGGTCCCCAAGGCAAAACCGTTTGATCTTCAGATACAGTGATCGACGCCGCAAAAAACAAGAGTCTGGGGGAATTCTCCCCGACATTGACAATCGCAACCAAAAAGGTACGTATACATAGAATAGTAACTGCCCTTATCTTACGGAGCAACGGCCCAGACCCGGTCAACCGACCGGCGGCAGTCGGGATCAACGCGCTGCCTGTGCCAGGTCCGTTCGTCCTTTTCTAAATCACCGCACGCCAGCCCGACGGCGCCATCCCGGCGAAGCTCCCAAACAGCGCTGAGGCGCTCCTCACACCCAGCCAAGCCAGCAGCACCGCGGCGACGGAGGCCAGGATGAGCGAGGCAAGGTTGCGGCGCTCCGTCTTGCGCACGAGCCTCACCCGCGCGGCGGCGGGGGACGAGCCGTTGCCGTTGGTGGTCTTGTTGTTGTCGTTGTTTTGGGTGAGGTGGTACGTTCTGCTCGCGGCTTCGGTGGACATCATGTCGAGGGTCGGGATGTACTGGAACTCGAAGTTCGTCTCCTTGCCCAGGGCGCCGAGCTCGGGCTTGTTGATTGTGATGTTGAAGAGGCCCTTTTGGAGTTTCTGGGTTGATGTTAGCTTTTGGCTCGGTTTGGGTGAGTTGTGATACATGATCACTTCTTCTTCTTCGCACCTTGTTCCGAGTCTCGTCCCACCCGGGAAATAGACGGTGGGAATAGCACATGACCATGAAGAAGATGCACTGCCCGACGACCAACAGGTTGTAGTACCACGGCGGTCTCTCGATCCCCAGCGCGCGCGCGAGTTTCGCCCCGTTGAGCCAGTACGTCTCCGCCGCCAAAAAGTCCCGCGACACGTACGACGGCGGCTGGTTGCACAGCCCGGACAGGACATTATTCGCCAGCGCCCTCGAGGTGTCAGAGGGCTCAATCTCGGAGACCATGAGCGACTCCATCATCGCCCGCGCCCGGCTCACGCTCTCGAATGCCTCCGTCGGCGTGCCCAGCACATGCGCCACCCAGCGCCACAGCGCGACGTAGTCCTCCTTCTCCTGCTCCGTGAGGTATATCCCCTGCCGCGGGAGGCCGATCCAGATGAGCGTCGCGGAAAAGGTGGACACGGTACCGATGGAGTCGAGGTCGTTGACGGGGATGCCCCACGCCTCTACGTCGTAGTAGGACGGCTTCTCGCGGGTGAGGGCGAGAATGCGGCGGCGCACGGCGGCGTGGAGCAGGCGGACGCGGACGGAGGAGGCGAAGCCGGCGCCGCCGGGCTGGATCGAGGGCAGGTCGCTGGTCACCTGGAGGATGTGCTGGAACGTCTCGAGGAGGCGGCGGCGGGTGACCTTGACACCGAAGCCGCCGGTGCGGGCGAGGGTTTCGACCACGCGGCGGCCGCCGAAGCCGCCTACCAGGGACTGGAACGTGAGCTGTGAGTAAAGTATTAGTGAGGTCGTTCTTCATGAATGATGTAAGGGGAGGTTACGGAGAAGATAGCTGGCCCGGCGTAACGGACAAACACCTTTTGCCCGCGTTCGATCTGGGCCCAGTCTACCCAGTCCGGAATCGTGTTGATTTCAGTCCAGAGTTTTCCCAGTATCTCATCCGAATTTGCATTGTCTTTGAGGAGGGCGTATAAGTCTCTATGGGGAGACTTCTCCTTGGGAGAGTTGTCTCCTTTCTCGCTGGGTGCAGGGGGCTTGGCTGGCGGTGATATCTCATCGAGGCGGTCCAGGGCCTGGGCTCCCAGCTCATCGTACGTGTAAATCAACGGTCGAAGGTCGTCAGATGTGAGATGCTCGTCTGTCCACTTGAACCAATAGTCCCATGCTTCTTGCCACTCAGGGCCTCTATACCAGAGACGGCCTGCCATTGCTCTTAGGGTCTGACTGTATGAGATGTGGGTGAAGATAATGTCAAAATTGTACGTGAAGGGATAGAACTGATGCCCAGATTCACGACATGAAGTTGCAGATAAGAACGAGGGTGAAGATAGTTTGCAAGTGGTGTTTAGCTCAACTCCACCGTGTGGCAAGTAGGGGCTAACAACAGCAATGACTTCATCGAACTCAAAGCCAAGTCTTCGAGCTTAACAAGACCCAGGAAAGCCGGCAGGATTTAACCTCTGAGAATCCCAAGTGTAAATCATATGATAGTCCACAAACGTCAAGTTGATTTAAGCTTGTTGACTCGCAGCCTCCATGTCGTTCTTCTCGAACACATGCCCGCTCGCACTGCGAAACGAGTTGGTGACCCCATTCGGATGAGGGGGGGAGTTCCTCCCAGACGCGCTGGCAGATCACCGGACCACGGCTTGCTACCCTAAACCACTTGACAGGGAGGGCCAATTGTGGTGTGAACGGCTCTGCCAGAGATGGGATGGAGGGCGGCAGGCTGGCCGACGCTGCGCGGAGGTAGAACCGCGGGGAGCATGGATGATGCTTTCATTTCTTGCACGTGCATTCCAGCTCGCGGTTAGCTCAGTGAGGGGTTAGGATAGGCGGGCCTCGTTGTCGGCAATAAGGGGGAAAAGCAACCAACTCGAAGTCTCAGCAAGTTGCGTTGCTGGTCATGAAATTTCGCCGTAACGCGATCCACAGCATCGTCGTTGTTGTGGTTGCAGAGTTGTCTTACGAGCGATGGGTAAGGTTTGCTGACGAGGACGGTGGAAGTATTCATTTAATTTAGTGGCACCGGGTCCCTGCAGGACCTGGAAGGCACCGGACAACGGGCTCAGCGCCGGCGCCACGGCACCCTTGCCCTCGGGGCGGTCCCACTGTAGTAGCGCGCCCCGTCCCGTCAATCGAACTGCATATCGATAGCATGGAAATTTGTCGACCAACTTTTTTCGCATCCCGTTTGCCGCTCATCGCACACTTCGAAGCGCAACGTCACGACACATTCCCTGTCCACGCATACTTACCGGTCGTCAATCGAAACATGCTCTGCTCTTGTCGCCTCAGTCCCTTGCGGGCTTTGCTCAGCAGCATGGCGCAGCTGCACGTCTCCGAACCCGCCGCCGCAGCGAGAATACCCAAGCATATCAGCAACAACCTCCCCAGATTCCAAACCATCCCGAGATCCTCATTCAGCACTACGCTCCCAAGGCGACGCGCCTCGTTCAACAATGTATGGGATGCGAAAAAGGCGAAAGCCGAACAAGCCGCAAAAGCAACGCAAACATCCTCCGATGAAAGAAGCAACATCAACCGTCCAAGGAAACCACGTCCCAGGCGACCGACCAACGACGAAGACGGCAGCGATCTGAACCCTCAAGAGCGGGAGCGCAAACACCAGCGTGAGCACTGGCAAATCCAGAAAGAGGCCCTCAAAGAAAAGTTTCCCGAGGGCTGGAACCCGCGAAAGCGCCTGTCGCCGGACGCCATCGCCGGCATCAAGGCACTCCACGCGCAGTCCCCCGAGGAGTACACGACGACGAAGCTGTCGAGCATGTTCGAGGTGTCGCCCGAGGCGATCCGCAGGATACTGAGGAGCAAGTGGCAGGCGTCGCCCGAGGAGGAGCAGGACAGGCAGGAGAGGTGGTTTCGCCGCGGCGTGAGCGTTTGGTCGAGGTACGCGGAGATGGGCGTGAAGCCGCCGCGCAAGTGGCGGAGGGAGGGTGTTGCTAGGGACCCGGCGTATCACGACAGGCGGAAGGCGGCGATTGAGAAGAGAAAGGAGGAAGAGGCGGCGGAGGATAAGGGAGAGAAGCTGCAGCGGAAGCTGGGGGGCAGCATCATGTGAGGGGCGCCCTACATAACGAAGACATTGGCCTCGACCGTTATCCCAACTTTTTATACCCGATTTGACGTTTGAGGTAAACTTGAAATCTAATACCAGTGTATTGCACTACTCGCGTTATCAGGGAGGGACTTTGTGCTTCTTCTGCTGGACCTTCTTAGAGCCATCGCTGACTCCTCCGAGCTGCATGTGCGAACGCATCTTACTGGAGCACATGAGCTACTCCATCGCCGGCATGTTATCAGAATGCTATAACCACAGCCTTATCATCCCTTTGTTCATGAATTGGCGGTTTCATCACGGCGGCTGGCTATTACGTGAACGAACGCTTCGCGATGATCTTTCTCGACACAGAGAGTATTCAGCCTGTGCATCTTCCGGATATGCACGCCCACCTTACGCAGTGCTGTCCTCGACCTGGGGCCCCGATGAGGTACGGCACTCGGATCTTGAAGATGACAAATTATCATCCAGAGGTATACTCAAGACGGACTACAAAAAGCTCGTGGATGCATGTCGTCTCACCCTGCAGCATGAGCTGCATTACGTATGGGTCGATACCTGCTGCACAAATCGGGCGGACCCGAAGGAACTCAGCGACACCATCAACTCCGGCTTCGAATTATTCAGATCAGCAGCTCTTTGCATCGTCCACCCAGCCGACGTTGAAGCGCATGAAACAAAGACTCATGTATCCCCAGGGAAAACACCTGCAGCTGCGCCGACAGAACGACTTAGACATAGCAGATGGTTCACTCGGTCATGAAGTCACCAAGAGCTGATTGCGCCCCCTCAAGTAAACTTTTACTCCCGTCAATGGCAATTCATCGGACGACGCAACGAACTTCAACTGCTTTTGTATGACATTAGGAATATCAACCCTTACGTGCTTGCGACAGGGGACCTAAGCAAAGTTTCGTTCGCTCGAAAAATTTCTTGGACTGCAAGACGCAATGATATACATCTCGAGGATCTGTCATACGCACTTCTTGGACTGGCGGGTGTTCAAATTCCTATCAGGTATGGTGAAGGCGTCACAGAAGCGTTTTATCGGCTTCAAGAGGAAATTGTCAAAACCACCGAGGACCCTTCCATATTCGCTTGGAGGGAGGATTGGGCCCAGATGTATGAAACCTGGGATAAATGCAATAAAGTAGTCGGGTCACCTCGTTTGGGAGATTACTTGGCCAAGTCCCCAGCACTTTTCAGCCATGTTGGTCATTTGTTTCCACCTCATCTTACTCTGGAGTATGAGGCCATTCAACCTTGGTGCAACAAAAAAAGGCCCGGATTCAATTTATGATGACTGGGAAACCAACTCAGTGGCATCTTTCGAATCTTCAACGACACTTGTTGGAAGCCCGGCGTCGGGACCGGTTCGATCTGGCCTTAACAAGGCGATTTCATTCCTCCATGAGAATGAGGTTTTGTACCCATTGTTCGAGACAGCGATGTAAAAGTCCTTGATTGGGCAGACAGGCTACGAAGACACCTGGCTCGTCTGCTCCGACAATTGGGTAGAGAGTTGGCAGTCGAGGCGACAACAAAAGACGAGTCTCTTTCGGCCGTCTTCCTTAGACAGTATCGTATTCCGATAGCTTCAGCAATCACTATGAGGGCGTCCGAAGATTGCATTTCGCCTGTTCTTCCAGACCCATCAGAGTCTCCAGTCCTGCATCCTGAACATGCGACAACATCTGAGACAGTAGCGGAAGGACAGAGTCAACACACCGCAGAGATCGAAGCATAGTATGAGATCGTGGAGACAGAACGGGATGACGAGAATGAGCCGGTCGACATGGCCCCTGATGACAAGGAAGAAGCTGCGGACCTCGACTTTGAGTCTATCAGTGCCTTCATACTGAACAGTTCTGCCTTCGTAAATTTGACGCGGAATCTGTCCGATTTTGTAGATCCTTCATTTCGCTCACAGGCTTCGAAGCTCGTCGCTAGAGTTCTGGAGGGAAAAGACACGGACGATCGGTACTGGAGCAACATAAGCTTGAGAATGATGACAGCACTTACTCAACTGGAGGAAACACGCCCCCAAAGCATCTTCCTCGATGTGGAGGGCACACATGGCATCATAAATAAGGAGGATATTTTGTGGTCTAAAGGGTCGCGGCGACTGCTTCCACAACGGTTGGAATGGAGATAGTCAGACGAACCACCAAGGTAACTGAAAATTCTTACATATTTAACTTCCAATTACATCTTCCCTCGGCTTAGTCCAATCCATTCATGTTACAGAGAACATCCACAAAGCCGAACGTCAGACCCCAATATGCGCTTCTCAAACGTTATGAAGACCATCGCGCTCCTAGGGGTCTTTGTGATCGACACCCCGGTCTCGGCCTCGCCCATACTGGGAAAGATTACTTTACGCGATGCAGTCCCAGAAACCTACACCTCAATCAAGGGCATCGCCATCCCGCCTGATACTAAGCTTCTGCCGCCAACAACCGACGTCGAGCGAGGTCGCTACCTATATCTCGTCTGTCTCAAGGACGACCTTCCGGCCGAGGTTTTGAAGAGTCATCACCTGCTTCTCAAGTACATGAATAACCCATGGGACGGTGGGCGCTACAACATATCGAGTTATCGCTTGCAGCCATGGCCATCTTACGACGGGATTTTCGATAGCAAGGCTCTGAAAGCCATTGGTGCTCGCGAGGAGGTCTATTTCATCTCGCCGAAGGACCCTAGCCAGTTTGGAAGGGTTCAGGGTGATGTGAAGAAATTTGGTCATGGGTATCAGCCCTGACTGTGGCGCCCATCTTTAGGCCGGGTACTGCAGACTCTCTGGACCATTGACACGTTGCACTCGACCGTCGACGGACTTGGTCAAATGGCAAAAGCAAGACAACTCAGTAACAGCAAGCAATCTAACATGTGATTCTTTTCACTCAAAAACAACAAAAAGCGAATACCCGAAGGGCTTCAAGGACCGACCGCGGTTCGAACGCGGGGCCTAGAGATAGGTTGCTGCGGGAAGCTGCAATCTCTCGCTCTACCACTGAGCTATCGATCCAGGTGGATGAGATTAGTCATCCAAATCGCTGGTTTGCTAGCCGCCATTCCCAGCTCATGGATAGTGAGCATGCACAAGCGAGGGGGGCAACGAGTGGGAATTTCAAAGGTTAGGTACAGTTTAGGTTGGTCACGAACGTGGGGCGGGTCCTGGAATGTACTTATAGCACGCTGTGTACTTGGAGAACGTATCCGTACAACACGAAAGAGATAAGAAGAATGAATACACATGGTATCCATGGCACAGTCCACAAGATAGCAATCCATGATGATGTTGTATTCGGCTTCACTTTGGCTCTTGCTATTGCAGCTCGAGCACACATGTGATCAGTAATACAGATTCAGGCCGTAGCGCCTGGTTTGATGGTGACATGCACATGGCCCGTGCACTGCTCTTCGGGTGTATTTACAGCAACCCGAGCGTTCCCGTTGATTTCTCCATCTTCAATGTCAAAAGCACGTACGCCATCGACATGGCGTAACGTCTTCGCACATACTCTATGCCGACCATAAACGACAATCATGAACCAAGACGTAGACAGGTCGCGGACCTGTCGCAAAAGGCTGCATCATCTGCAACACCAGCGCGCAGGTGACCAGAATGCAAAATATCACAATCGTCGCAGTTTCTAGCATCGAGTTATTTGAGATCCAAAGTTGACAGGCGTTACTCTCTTCACGTGCCCGGTCGAGGGTTCTCAGGGTTGTCGAAGCCACAGACCGGCTTTTCTTGTCAATTTCGGCAAGCACGAGAACTGTCAACGCTGAAAGTGCCATGATTCTCGATACGAGGGACGAATCATGTCGGTGTTGGAGCCTAGCTGGCGGGAGATCATCCCCGAAAAGCCTGCCACTTGGATGCCGCGAATAGCTTCCAAGCTGGTAACTGTGGTACTCATGGACCAACTGGACCTCACACAGCCTGTGAAACTCTTCCGCTTCCGATGGCTGACTGAAGGGATTCGGTGATGCTGCTTCTCCCCATCTACTCGGATTCTCGTGGTTATGCCACAGTGTTCGGTACGACCACGGACGTCTCTGATATCGTTGCATTTCGTTTCAATACTGTCTGTCGGTTGGACAAATTGTGTGGTCGATGCTTGTTCGATTTGGCTTGGATTTGCGAGTCCGCTTGGATTTGGACGCCAACATGGAGGCCAGTACCGACATCTTAAGTCAAGCAGTCCACAGTAAACCAGAATTCATGATGACACGAATTAAAAGGGGACCATTGCCTATCTGAAGGTGAGGGTAGTCGGTTGAACCCGGTGGAAGCTTCAAGGTAAGTCGTTGCCAGGCGGCTTCCAGGCGACCACTAGAAGAGTATGCTCTGCAGTTCTCCTGTTTATGAGCAGCAATCTTGTTGTTGTTGGGAGGGAACTTCAATCGAAAGAGAAAGACACAGACATGAGACTGAGCGATGCTTGAGCTTTACCTTTGGGATGAAAAGCGCACTGCCAAAGATTCTCCGGTTGTGACTGGGACGACAACGAACCCCTGTCCATGGTCTTGCACGGCACCATCATCTTGTCTCAACGACACTCGTGTCTTTGTCTCCTAGAACAATGAGCTACAAATTTTCGACGAATTTGTTGCCAGCTCCGCAACAAAGTCATGAGAGACAAAAAAAAAAAACCGCTATTCTAGAAAGCTCAAGGCGATAGATAATACCACCGAATCGTTGAGTCGCAACGGTCACAGTTGCAATCAGGCCATTTCACTCCGCGAACAACCCCAAGATCCTCCCTCCACACGCAGGCAGCATCTCTCGGCCCAAAATGGGCCCTTCGGCTATTGCAGTTCTCGGATGAAGGGCGTCCAGAGCGGAGGATCCACAGTGAGGCTCAACGACATGTCGTTCCCGTCCGGGCATTCGTAGAAAAGGGTTGCCAGGTCCCCATCACAGACCCCGGCCACGGGAATAGCACTCGTATGCATCTCTCCCGCCAACACCTTGCTTGATTTTTTTCTTTCTTTCCACCTCGCACCTTGGCTGGAGCCCTTCCCGGCGGAAAGATCCCGACGCTTGTCCTTATCTGCCAGGGGGCTAAAGTTATGACGCGACTGTGATTTGCTCGGGATGCTTGGGCCTCGAACCGGTCTGGAATACGGGCTGCTGGCGGTTGGGACAAGTCACAAAATTGTGGTTTCTTCTTGCCACTGATTTCCGAGTTTTTTCTCGCCCGAAACTTCATCGCCGAGTCTTCACGACCTTTCGACCACCCTCTTTTCTTTTCGAGGCAGAGAATGCTCGAGGAGGCGGTACGTACCGACGGGTTCAACGCTCGATCGGCCGGATGATCCGCAACATGCGCCGGGACGCATCAACAACGGCGACTGAGTCGCATCTGCAACACCACGCCGCAACGTCGCGCCCAGCAAAACGAAACTCCAACAGGGGCGTCCTCGGAATAGAAACGAGTTCTAGCTGAAAAAAAATCGTTGTTTCCATGGCGGTCTGGCTCCACAGTCGTATGTCGAAATGTAGGAACAGTAGAAGAAAAGCGGGCACTAACATTGCGAGGCTTCTCCGACGCACTCCCGAGACAATGTGATGCGATTAGCGAAGGTGACTAAACAAGTACGTACCAGCCGTTTGTCCTTATTGGAGACCGTCTACCTTGAGATTCTTGCGACTGACACAAGTACCGCAGGCTTGGCTTTTCTCCTGTTTGTTTTCTCGCCGGTTCTTACGACTTGGGAATCGTGGGTGACCGTGGACTCAAGTGAGCCGGAGAGGACACCGAAGGATTCGAGCAGAACAGCGCCGGCTCTACCATCTGAAAGATAACAGAAGGTGAGACCCGACAATGTGGCCGAACAGGTGCGCCGGCGGCGGCAGCTAGACAAAAGCTGAAGGCTAGGCAAGCGCCTAGTCGAGATTTCTGTACGTTGTACATACGCACTTATCTAGGCTTTGATTTGAGCCTTGCGAGCACAAACCGGGCCGGGTAAGCTTCACATGCAGTCATGGGTACACGACCAAGGGGTCCCACAAACACCGTTCTCCTTGACCATGGCTCGGCGCCGCTGCGGTGTCGTCTCGGGGGATGCTTTTTCTCGAGGGTATAAATCTTTATCGGCCCCCCCTTTCCGAGGAACCTGTATCCGCTTCCGCTTGTCTCCATTCACCAGTCTGTTTCTTGCCTTCCGCCGAGAGGCCTTCACGTTTTGCATTTAAGGGGTCATCGTTCGACTTTTGCCAGTCCAGTCGACTTCTACCTATACCCACAGCATATATCTAGAGCCTGGATTCGGTCTTCTGGTCCCTTGATCCCTTGCCATTCACTTGACTTTGACGTCTCCGTCCCGTCTCTCCACCACAAGTCCTCACCCACTTCACGATGTCTTCCGAACAACAACAACAAAAGCCTCTCAGCTGGTGGAAGCGCCACTGCACTCCTCCGCCAGCCCTCAACCGCACTCCTCAATGCCCATGCTCTGCCTGCTGGAACGGTAACGGTGAGCACTGGAAGACGACTGCCCCACAGACTGCGACTTCGACCATGTCAACGGCTCCTCAACCCAAAGAAACCCGAACGGCCACTCTCCGAAGAGAAACGGAAACCGACTTGACGCCTCTCCGTCGCGAAGAGACCTCGTCAACGACAAATCTTAGCGTCTACTCGCAAGAAAGCAGGGCCAGCTCCGTCTCGCTCACCAACATTCACCGCTTCGTTCGGGGGAAGGAAATCGTCTAAGTGAGGGGTGGTAATTCAGCCGTGGCTTGCACCGACATCCAGGGCCACGTACACTGCCACCGAGGGGAAGGAAGCTTGGCGTCCATGGCGTCCAGACCGGTCTTTTCTTCTCGCTCCTCTCACCTCGACACACGGCGGTCTTCTTCATTTCGGGCAGGTTGGATGGGAGAGAGGGAAATGGGAATGGGCAAAACCCCCTCAGAAATCCTGCGTGACCCCGGAGTGCCAAGAAGCTGACTCTACTTAAGAGACTCTGGGCGCAGGATCACGACAGGTTGGACCAGCCAATTTTAGGGTTTGAGATGCAGATAAGGGGTCCTTGGGTTGCAGTCGTTGGACGGTTTGGGAACGCGCCGGCGGGCGCCGCAGCTTTTCTTTGGGCGCCGCCGCGGGGGAACTGTCCCGTTGGGTTGGTGCGAAGTCGTAATCCTGGGGAAGCGAGGATGCGATAGGGAGGGGGTTAGCTTCTTGCGCGCGTGGTTGGCGCGGCGCTGGGCCACACAGCTAGGGTTGGGAAAGTTTGGGGGATAGTTGGGGTATTGACAGGCCTAGACCGGGGGCGTTTGGTTCCCGCATGTCAGCCAGTCAGGCGGGACGAGGAGGTCAGCTCGACTTTCTTGTTTGCCATGGCTGGTGTCGGTTGGCGGGAATCGTGACCCGTGAATACGCGATGTGTTGAGATGGATACTTCGAGACGGGTGAATGCGCGGCACAGCAGTTCGGGAGCCTTTTGGAGTTTAGGGTGAATGATAGAGCTGGGTAAGGTGTTCCAGTTCGCTTGAAGATACCGTTTGATAGCCTCTTTTTGAATTCACGATAGAAAACCAACATATTGTGAAGCATCATGTCTCAGTTGCTCTCGTGATAAGCTCAGATGACCACCACACATGCCTTCTCCGGAGCAAACCGGCCCCATCACGGCGCCGCTTATCGGAGCGGCAGACCCACCTGCATGACGGGGCCGAGTCCATCTGTCCTGACGGGAATAAGCACAGCATGAGGTGCCAGCTGCCCCAGATGGTGCAATAGACGTAGCTATGGAAAAGCAACCATTGGAATTGACCAAAACAGTATCAAACTCCATAGGTAGGTAGCATCTAACGGGATTTACTGCCTGCAAAAACAAAAGGTCAAGGACCGACCGCGGTTCGAACGCGGGGCCTAGAGATAACTGCTGTTTGGAACTGCAATCTCTCGCTCTACCACTGAGCTATCGATCCAAGTGGCTGTAGAAGCTGGTTGTTGGGAGCACAGGAGAGCTCATGAGTCGATGGAATGGGGACACGGTGGTAAGAACGATGACACTCGTGGACAGTTAGGGTCTGTGGGGCTGAGTGACATGCGGCCTGCGTGAAGTGGCTTAATTAATCTAGCTATAAGCGCTGGGCGTGCCTAGCTATAAAGTGGTGTGGCTGATCCCTTATATAAAGGTGGGATTTAGGCTAGGGTTTAAGCCTTAAGCCTAAGCTTAGCTAATTACTATCTTATACCCCCCTTTTAGCTAATACCTCCTACGCCCTATAAAGCTATTCCTATTCTAAAGTAATAATTAGATTAATTATATAACTATTAGCTTTATTCCTAGCTATCTCCTTTATATTTTCCTTTTTATATTAACTTTATTATCCTATCTCACTTCTTAAAATATTTCTAATTTCTAACTCTTAGTTATATACTAATTATAACGTAGAATTCTTATTAACTTTAAAGTAACCTTAATATAAACTTAAACTATATAGTTTAGTAGTTTAGCTACTTTTAGATTATATAGACTTAGATTAAAAGAGCTAATAATTTAACCCTAAAATCTTAAATTTAAATTAGATTTATAGTAATTAAGTCTAATTAACTCCTTAATACTAGTTAAATAATATAGGTTCTATATTCTATAGTTAAGTTTAATACTTTAAAATAAATAAAGTTTATAGATTTTTATAAGAATTANTAGTTCTAAGATATATTAATATTTTATATAAACTTAATTAACTAAGATAATTATTAGAAGATATTATAAAGTTTAGTTCTCTTTTTACTTTTATTCTAATTTATATTTTTAAGATCTAATTAAAATTAAGTAAATTAAACTTAAGCTTATATTTCTTTTAGTAATTAGTATTATTACGTTTTAATATAGATAAATATTAATTAAGATATCTAATTTAGTAATAAACTTATAACTTAGCGAAATTAAAGTTTTTAATTACTTTCTAAGTCTTTATTATTAAATAACTTCTTATATAAAAGACTTTTATAGTTAGTAATTTAATTATTAAAAAGAGCAAATTAAAGTAATTAAAATAATATAAAGTCTAACTATAAAAGTTAATTAGTTAGTAAGATATAAAGGAATAAAGTTATTATATATAAAAGAAATAAATAAATATATAGGACTTAATTAGGATTAAGTTTTAAGATATTATCCTTAGATTAGGACTTATTATTAGTTATAAGTAATTTAGATAAACTTAGTATTCTAATAAAGTTATAATACTTCTCTATTATTAGTAGTTTAGTAAAGCTATTAGTAACTATCTTATAAGTTAAGATATAATTAATCTTAAAGTCTTTATTACTAATATTATTAATAATCTAATAATATTTAATCTTAATATAATATAGTTTAGGTAACTATTTACCTAATAAATAATTATTAAGGGTATTTATAGAATCTATATATACTTAGAGGGGTAATTAAATAGAGATATTTATCCCTTTAAAGAGATTTATAATATATAGTAGAGCCTTCCCTCTAAGTATTAGATTTATTTACTTAGCTTTATAAGTTAATATAGCTATAAATAATTATAGTATTAATTTCTAAGTAATTAGTACTCCTCTATATATAACTATATAGCTAGCTATTAACTTATTTATTCTTTTATAATTAAACTAGCTAGTATTATAGAATATTAATAATTTAAGGTTATTAATAGAATAACCTAAACTACTAAAATAGAGTACTAGTTATTATAAGCTATAGAGATATCTCTATATTAATCTTAGTAGTTTATTATACTTTTTAGAGGTATATTATTAATCTCTAGTAGCTCTACTTATAGGTATTATAATATCTAGTTATATACTATTTATAATCTATTATAACTTACTTAAATTACTTTAATATTTATATATCTTAGTAGGCGTTTTATATTATTCTATAATCTTTAGTAACTAAGTATTACTAAGGGGGTAGAGAACTTAGTTATATTTAGTAATACCCTTCTCTATTAATATATTATTAATATATTTAGCTTATAAGATCTAAAGTTATCTTATCTTTTAGTAGTAAATAATCTTAAACCTAAAAAACTATTATACCTTACCTAAATTTTTAATTTAAAAGAAGTTATATAAGTTATTTTTAAAGTTATTAACTTACTTAATATTAGGTATAGTAATAAGTATATTATTAATATAAAGTAATATTATAATACTATCCTTATTAATAAGAATATAAAGTTCTTTTAGGAGTAGATTAAACCTTAATTATTTAAGGATAGTAATAATTTACTTATACTAGAGAAGAGGGGATTCTCTTAGCTTATAGAGAGCTCTTTTTAATTTATAAAACTAACTAGATCTATTATTAAACTTATAAGGTTAAATAATAAAAATATTATAATCTCCTATAAGGGTATTTAAGAAAGCTATAACTATATTAACTTAGTGAAGTTTTAGATCCTTAAGTACTATAATTAGTAAAAAGACTTATAGAGTAATAAGATTAGTAATAATAATATAAACTATCTTATTATCCTTATCTTAAAAGTTACTATAGATAACTTATTTTACTCTAACTCTATTAAGTCTTCTATTTATAATAACCTTTTTATTATATATTTATTTACTTAGGAGATATTTAAAGCTATTTAGAAACTCTTTAAGTTATTAATATTCTATCCTTTATAAGCTTTTAACTTAAGTCTTTATAATATTAAAGATAGCTAACTTTAGAAGTTCTTTTTTTATTACTTCTTATTTCCTAAAGGTTATAGGTAAGTAAATCTCTAAACTAAAGGTTTATAATAAGTTAAATACTAAGAAAGTAAAAATAACTAGTTTTTAGTCTATTTTATTATTAATTAAGTTAATCTTTATAGCTTCTATCTTACTAAATTCCCTATTAAACTTCTTTATATTATATAATACTTAGGTTTTAAATATCTAAGTTATTTAAGTAGAAGAAGAAGTAGTTACTCTTAGTAATTTTATAAGGATAGAGCCCTTATTATTACTTTTTAGTTTTCCCCTCTATCTTCTTTATATTAAGTAAGGAGTTTAAACTAAAATACTAAGAGAGCTTTATTATTATAGAGTATCTTTTAGTAATTATTATTACTAAGGAGTAGTAAGAGATCTCTACTTTAGAGGAGTAATAAGAGAATATTACTTTAAAGGAATATATTAATTATTTTACTATAAGGGAGAAACTTCTTCTAGTATTAATTATACTTATATATTTATAATATTAATATTTAGTATTAATATATATAGTTTTAGATCTAAGGTTAGTAAATTACTCTCTTTATTACTAACTTCTTCTTAAAGAGGCTTATCTTTCTATTCTTATTTATTATTACCCTCTAGTTCTTAAGCTTCTTTTAGGTATAAATTACCTATTTTATCCTCTTATTATTCCTATTTAGCAGAATAAATATAATAATATAACTTTATATTTAAATTATAAAACTAAGATTTAGCTTTATAGATTATAATTAGTAGTTTATTATTATACTTATAGGTTTCTAATTTAACCTCTTCTCTTAGCTATAAATTATTAAATTTAACTAGGGGGAGCTCTCCTTTATTTTCTTTAAATATTATATCTCTTATTTATTAAATACTATTAGTCCTTTTAATAAGAATATAGAAAATATTACTATAGAAGTTATTATATTTTATAAATCTTTTAAGTTTAGTTTTAAACTTTATTTTCTATCCTTTTATATATAAATAGCTATCTAAGTAAATATAGATATAAGCTTAATAACTTTAGTAGTAGAGATAGTATATATATAGTTTTCTTATAGTAAGAGATATATTAAAAGTATTTATTAATTTCTTATAAGGACTAATATTACCCTTACTATTAAATAGTAGATTACTAACTTCTATAGAAATCTTTATTAACTAAAACTAAAAGGATTTAAGAAAACTAATTTCTATATATATTACTTATACTTTTTACTATATAGCCTTACTAGAGCTTTCTACTCTTCTATTCTACTAATAAGAGTAAAGTGCTACTATCTTTAAGATAAACCTCTACTCTTAAATAAAAAGCTTTATTACCTTAAGAAGAACTATATTATTATCTATAATAACCTTAAAGAAATAAATAATACTATTTATTACTATAATCTTTTTTAGAAACTAGCTTTATAGCTAAATAGCTATATTTTTCTTTAATTTAAATACTTAGAACTATTTATAAGTTAAGAAGGCTTTTATAATATAGAAACTATAAGTAATACCTCTAAAGTTTTATAGTATTAGTTTTAAGAAGTTAATTTAGAGCTTTTAAAAAGTTTAAGTTAGTTATTCTTATCTTCTATTACTAAATTATTATATTAATTTTACTATAAAGTAGATATAATATTTATATCCTATAAGAAGTACCCTAAAGAGGTTTATATTAATATCTCTTATAGTAGTAATAGTTACTTCTCTAAATAGATATTTTAGATAAATATAAAAAGTTTAGTAATCTAGCTTAAGAGAGCTAAATTTATTACTTTAGTTAGAGGGATAGATCTAAAACTAAAAGATTTATATATTCTATTTAAAGTTAGTAATAGCTTTAGATATATCTTTATAAACTAAGATATTATCTAAATTATTAAAATAGATACCTATTTTCTAAAAAAAACTAGTACTAATAATTTATACTATATTATAAGGTTTATAAAGAGTACTATATAGTTAGAAAGTAATCTTTTTACTACTTAGCTTAATAATAATTACTTTAGCTATATTAATAGCCTAGCTAATTTAGTCCTTTCTATCTATATAGTTTATAGTTAATCCTTAAGAGAGATCTTAAAATTCCTTAAAAATAGAGAGATTATTAAAGATATACCTACTAGTATTAATATTTAGTATAAAGAAGTCTATCCTCCTAATAGAAGCTATAGATATAATATATTAGCTTAGTTATACTTCTTAGTTATTACTTTCTTCTTTATTAACTTCCTTAATAGTATTATATATAAAAAGATTATTAATCTCTATTTTAGTAGTTTAGCTAATAGAACTTTAGATAGAGGATTTAAATCTCTTTATTAGTTACTTCTTAACTCTCTATATATAGTTAACTTTATATAGATCTCTAGTAAGAGATTAAAAGTTAAAATATAGACTAAATACTTTAAAGTTATCTACTAGGAATAATAAAAAGGTCCTCTTTTAAACTTAAACTAATAAAATATCTATAAAAGCCTCAAATTAATAGTTAATATCCTATTTAATACTAGAGTTTCTAAAAATACTATCTTAAGTTTAACCCTCTAAGATAAATACTAAAGTAGATACTTATATAATTATTTATATAGTTATTTATAATATATTTAAATATTTAAACTTATTAAACTTTATAGTATAATACTTATAATACTTTAATAAGTATTTATTATAAGAAATAAAGTATAAGGAAGCCTTTCTATAATAGTAAGAGTATATCTTATATCTATAAAGGTTTTATAGATACTTAGAATTATAGGAAGTATATAAATCCTACTACTATATCTCTCTATTATTTATAGGCTTAGAGGGTTAAGTTTGCTTTTTTATAGTAAACTTCTTCTTATTTAATAAAGCCTTAATACCTTAAGAGGTTTACTTATATTATTCCTTTTCGCTAAAGCCTCTAAGTTCTTATAGGAGGTTATTATAGGTATAAATTTCTATAATAAAGTTATTCTCTATAGTATCTACTTTAGCCTAATTAAAATATTTAAAACTTTAGATAAGTCTATAGGTAAGAGCTATAGTTAATAAACCTATACTAAAGCTATTTAGTTTATTAAAAGTTAAATAAAGATCTTATATAAAATTATAAAAGTATTTAGGGGCTATAAGCTATAATTAGGTTAAATTAATAGAAGAAGTACCTAAAAGGTAGGTATAATATTACTACGCTACTTTTACTTACTTCTTCTAAGTTCTTTCTTTTTTAGTTTTTAGTATATACTTACTAAGTCCTTATTATAGAGGGTTCTATACTCTAAATCTATAGACCTTCCTATCTATTTAGCCTCTACTAGCTAAGCTATCCTTAAGCTTTCTAGCTAGGTATTTAGTCTCTTATAATTATCCCCCTTCTAAATATAGTAGTCCTTACTATATATCTAAATACTATAGCTAGCTTTTTACTAAAGTCCTTCCTCTTATTTAGGTGATATTTATTAGATTTAGTATTATTATCTTTATTATTTAATAAGGTGTTTATTTATTATATATTTACTAAAAGATAATAGAGCTTTTAGGGTTATAGCTATAATAACTAAACTATAGTTCTATCTATTAAAGTTTTTCTTCTTTTAAGCTCTTTTTATACTTCCTATTTAGAGATACTCTAAAGAGATCTTATTATTTCTTTAAAGAAGGGTAACTATCCTTAAGTTATAAGTTTTATCCCTAGTATTTTACCTTTTATTTAGTAAGCTTTCTCTTATATAATATCCTTATAATAACTTTATTTTTTTTATTTTATTATCCCCCTTCTTAATAGACTTATTATAAAACTATTAAATAGGTTAAATAGTACCTACTACTATTAATTTATTACTCCTACCTTCTTATATATAATACTTACTATAATAAATAACTACTATCCTTTATTATCTAAAGTTATAGCTACTTCTATAATTATTTAATAAGGCCTCTTAGCTATTTATAAAGTAATAGCTTTTTTCTACCCTTAAGGTTAGTTTTTTTTCTTCTTTAGTATATTATATCTATTTATAATAACTTTTATATTTTTATAAATCTTTCTTTAAGCTTTTATAATATATTTACTAAATTTTCCTTTATTTTATAATACTTTTATAACTAATATTATAAATACTAAGAGTTTAATTTACTAATTTCTTAAAGAGTATAGTTTTAATAAAGAAGAGCTTAGTAATAATAACTATTAGTATAACTAAATAAGTAGTAATAAGCTTTATATTAGTTATATATTATAGCTCCTTAAGAACACTTAAGTTATTTATATTTACTAGAAAGATAGTAACTATATATATAAGTTATACTATTTTTATAGTATTAAGTACTATAAAGTAAGTTTAGTAATTATTTAGGGAAGGTATAAGCTAATTCTTCTCTCCTTTAGATCTTAGTCTATCTTATTAATACTATTTATTTCTATTAGAATTAAATTAAGTATTATATTTATATTATTACTACTAAATAGTATTATTAATATAAGATCTTTTATATCTTTATAGCTATAGAGTAAGGTATTAAGCTTCTCTAATATCTTTATAAGTAGTTAGTAAACCTTATTAATCTTAAGCTTAGTTTTAAAAATTATAATAACTAGCTACTTATTATAAATATAGAGGAAACTACTACTTTATATACTTAGGTATACCTATAGGTTATACTTAATATAAGTTTCACTTTATAGTTAGTTTTTTTTTTTTACTTATCTAATATATTATTTATAGGTAGCTTACTAAGCTAAAGATAAGGTATTAGTTAAGGAGATTATACTATAGATTAATAATATTCTTCTAGCTTATTTATATAATAAGACTTATATCTTTAATTAGACTAAGTTTCTTAACTACTTTAGTAAAGTCTTAATAATATATCTTTTAAAAAGTAATAATTATATATTTAATCTTCTTATATAGGATCTTTTAAAGGTTTAAAGTTATTATATACTTTATAATACTTATTACTATACTTTTATATCTATTTATAAAGTTATTAATAGTAGTCTTATACTTTAGCCTAATACTTATAAATAAGTTAGTAAGGATTTAGTAATAGCTTATTAATACTAGGTTAATAATAAGGATATAAATATATTTTCTAAAAATAGTAATAGTAACTCTAATAATACCCTTAGAAGTAGAGGTTAAAGTAGTAATAGTAGTATTACTAATAAGAGCTTAAAGAGTAAGAGTAATAGTGAGGGTAGTAAAGAAGATAGTAATAGTAGTAATAAAGATAGTAATAATAATAATAATAATAATAGTAGTAATAGTAATAGTAATAGTAATAGTAATAGTAATAGTAATAGTAATAAGTAGTAATAGTATTAGTTAAAGTTTAGTAAGTATATAGTAGGTTTTCTATAAGAGTATAAAGTTAGATACTTATTATTTCTAGTTATTTTTACTATAAGGTTTAAGAAGCTTTTCTAGCGTTTTAAGCTATTCTATAGTTAATTAACTTTTCTTATTATACTATACTACTTATTATCCTATTTATAATATAACTTATACTACTACTTTTTAAATTTAGTGAGGATTTAAGTAGTATTTACTAAGTATTCTTTAAACTTTTAGGTATTATACTTTACTAACTAGCCTTTCTATTTAATTAGATATAGGGGGCCTATTAGTATATCTTTTTATAATATAATATCTTTAACTTCTTATTTTTTAAGGTTTTCTTTTAAGTTTAGAAGCTATTTTTTAGTAAGTTTTTAGCTATATTATAGCTTTAATAAGGCTATTAAGAAGATATTATATACCTTATTATACTTTTCTAGGAGCTATACTCTATAGGTATTAAAGCTTATAACTTTTATAACTAATATAAGGATAAAATATAAGGTGAGTTTTTACTAACCTTTTATAAAGTAGAAGTTCTTTATTAAGAGTTTTATAATATCTCTAACCTTATATATTTATACCTTCTTTTTAGTATTTATATTTTTAGCTTATATTTCTATTATATATTACTAATTTTTAGCTATTTTTTAGTAAACCTCTATTAGCTTTTTAAACTTTTTATTAACTTCTTAGGTTCTAATTTTAATACTTAGTAAGTAGTAATTAATTATTTAAGGGTAATAACCTATAAGAGCTTTAAATAGTAATATACTAATAATAATATATTTACTATTATTATATAAGAATTTAGCTTTAACTAGCTATATTACTTACTAATTATATAAGCTTTTATTAAACTTTAAGAGATATATAATTAGGGTTTAGTATATTCTCTTAGTCTAGCTATTTATTTATAGATATTATATAGTAGATATATACCCTTCTATATCTTAAACTTTAGTTTAATCTTATTAGAACTAGCTAGTAATTAATTTATCTTAGTTACTAATAATAGCTTTAGGTATACTATATTAGTATTTAATCTCTTAATATAAGATCCTCACTAAGTTTATAGCGTTTAGTTACTTAGTTATTACTAGGAATTAAGCTATTTTAGTTATTTAGTATATAACTACTAGAATTATATTATATATAATTCTATTATCTTAGTAACTCTCTAGTAAGCTAGTTAGGAAATCTAAAGAAATCTATTAGAATAAATATACTAATAGTTCTAATATTTATAGTAGCTTATATAGCTTATACTATAGTATATATACCTTTTAGTAGTATAAATATTTAGTAATATATTACTATATATCCTCTATTAAGTAAGGCTAATAAAATTTTTATAGAATTAACTTTACTATCTTATTTACCCCTATATACTTTAATTTAAATATATTATAGTAGTTTTTTAAGATTTTATAGTAGAGGGATCTCTCTTTAGGGATAACTAGTCTTCTCTTAAACTAAAGGATATTATTCTTATTAAATTAGTATTTTTAGTATTCCTTAGCGTTTTAGTAAACCTTAGTTATAAGTTCTCTATAGAAGTAGTTTTTAGCTTATAGTCCTCTAACTATCTATTTAAGATTTATACTTAGTTATAATATATATACTATTTTATTCTAAATAAGCTCCTTTATTATAGTATATAGGATATATTACTTTAGTATAGTAATTTTAACTCCTCTTAAGTCCTCTAGTATATTACTATTCTCTTATAGAGTAGTTAGTATAGTATTTATATATAATTTTAAGTAAGTAATAATACTAATATATATATTTTAATATAATAACTTATTAATACTTTTTATAAAGTAGTACTAATTTAAGGGTAAGGATCTCTTAACCTTAGAACTAGCTTTTAAGTAAGGTTTTTATATATTTTATTAGATAACTTAGATATAAGTTCTTATAATAGCTATAGTCTCTTTAAACTTAGTAATATATTAGTAATTTATTACTAAAAGCTAGTTAATAAACTTAAGCTTTTTTCTAAAAATAGGGAGTATATTATCTACTTTAGAATTCTCTACTATATAGTTAGGGTATTATAATAGCTTATTTACTAGGTTAGTAACTTCTAATTAATATTAGATTTTAAAGTTAAATATAAATAAGTAGTAAACTTATTAAGTAAGTTTTCTATAAATATCTTATATAGGTATAATAAGTACTCCCTTTAATATTATATAGTTAGTAAGTATTAGAAATTTCTTAGGAAGCTTTTATAAATATTATACTTAATAATCTAGGTTTTTTATAATTATAAGAAGTTTTTATTACCTTATAACTTAGTATCTTTTTATATCTAAAAGCTTTTTTAACTAGAAAGTTATTAGATACTAAATAATATTATATTTCTATAAAAATATATTAGATACTACCTAAGTAGATATATTAGTCTTAATTTTAGTCTTTAGTATTAAGTTATAATATCTTAATATTAAGGCTTTAATAAATACTCTCTAAAGTGTTTTAAATATAGCTTATATTTCCCCTATTTAGATAAAAGCTTTTAACTTTATACTATTTTAGTTTCCCTTAAATATACTATTTATAAGGGTTATAATATAGGAATATCTTATAATAAATTTATAGTAGAAATTATAAAAACTAAAAAAGATTTAAATATTTTAGAAGGATTTTAGTATTAGCTATTTAGTAACTACTTAAACTCTATCTAGGTCTATCTTAATACTATCTTAAGTAATATAAAACTTAAAGAAATTAATTTCTATTTAGTAGAAGTTATACTTTTTTAATTTTATAAAAAGCTTAATAGTTTTTAAGTAATATAGGACTAAATATAGGTTTTTTATATACTAATCCTTAGTATCTAAGTAGATTAAGATATTATTTAAGTATATAATATAGTAAATATTTAAAAGATTAGTAAGTATTTAGTAAATATATACTTAGAATATTACTAGAGTATTAGTAAGTCTAAATAATATTACTATATACTTAAAGTACTTATATTAAGTTCTAAATATAGTTTTTTATTTATCTACTTTATTAATTATAATTTTATAATAAGCTTTATTTAAATTAATCTTTAAGATAAACTTTATATTAGTAAATCAATTTAGAAATTTACTAATTAGTAGTAAAAAGTATTAATTCTTTATTATAATTTTATTTAATCTTCTATAATCTATATATAACTATAAACTACTATCCTTCTTAAG